AACCCACAGCCATTAAATTGATTCTCATTCATAGTGGTGACCCTATAGGACAGAGTAGAACTGCCCCATAGGGTTTCCAAGGCTGTAAATCTTTACAGAAGCAAACTGCCTCATCTTTTCTCCCACAGAGGAGCTGGTGGGTTTGAACTGCCACCCTTTTGGTTAGCAGCCAAGTGCTTTAGCCACTGTACCACCAGAGCTCCTTAATACAGTACAGATTTGGTTAATTTATTTTAACTACTGTATAACACTTTGGTTTTTAAATATACCATATTTTATTTATATTTCGTTAGTAATCCTAATGTGGATTATTTCTAATTTTTTTTTGGAATTATAAATAATGTTAAAAAAAAAAAACTCACTGTTGTTGAGTCAGAGCCAACTCATAGTGACCCCTTCTTGGGTTTCTGAGGCAGTATCACTACAGAAGTAGATCATATATTGATAAACATTTTTAGTGTCTCTCTCACAATCTCGGAGACAGATTAATTAACACATATGCCTGGAAATATTACTAGATTAAATGATAGGAAAGTCTTCACCTTTGTGAATGTTGTCATATTTGTCTCCATAGTGGTTTTACAAACTTATATTTTCACAAGTAATATATGAGAATTTCCTATCAAGAATTTTATTCAGCTGTCAGGACTGGAAACTTGCTTACTTTGTGGTTTCCATTTCTAAGTTTGCCTTATGATCCAAGATGGCTCCTAGAGTTCAGCTATTATGCCCACAGGAAGGAGAAAAAGAAGGAAGAATTAAAAGAACTTTTCTGGAATCATCAACCATTTGGGTCAACATCTCATTGGCTGCCCTTCTCTACATTGAAGACTGGGAAATGTAGTTTTTAGTTGGGCACACTGTACGTAAGAAAGGCAGAGTGTTTGTTGGGTAAGATTTAAACACTTCCACATGTCTCTTTTTCCTGGTTTTCACTGACATTTAATATTAAACTTTTCATTTTCAGCAGATAGGTTTGAAATGGTATCTCATTTTTAAAATTATAGTTCACTAGTTAGTGATGAGGTGTAAAATTTTTTACTCGTGTGTTCATATTTACATCCCTCTTCCTTTACCATTATTCTATTAAGTTTTGCCTTTTACTAATTAATTTATCACAGCACTTTATCATTTAGTGTACTAATCCTTTCTTTCTTTATGTCCAAATAAATGTTTTTTTTTTTTTTTTTTAATTTTGGTATGGTCTCCTTTAATATACAGAAATTTTCAGTATAATGTTAAATTTAGTAGTTTGCATCCTTTGTAATTTGTTCTTTTGCATGTATTTTTAGATATATTCCTAGGTGTTTTATAGCTTTTGTATCTGTTGTGAGTGGTGTCTTTAAACTTTTTATTTCCTAATGGGTTATTGTTAGTATATAAGAATATTGCTTGTTTTATTTGGACCTAGGAGTCTGCCCCTTATGTTGATCTCAGTAGTTCAATTTTTCATCATCATCTATTTTTTTTTTAACCCACTGAATACATATTTAGTAACTTCTTTTATATTCAGACATGTGGTCCTCCCACCTTTTGCCTGGACACTTTCAGTGATTTTGCTATTACTATTCTTTGAGGCAGTTCAGATGATTCTTTATGCAGATCATTGCTGTGGTCTCTTCTCATTTATGGCCCAAAGGAATGAGACAGGATAAGAAGTTTACATGAGGTTATGTGCCTTAGAAACTACAATGATTTCCCTCTCTGGAGCTAATTGCTCCTTTCTGTGTCCTTTTCTCCCCATCCTCAGTTCTCAGTTTCCTTCTTACCTTTATTTTCCTTGCTCTCATGTCTTTCTCTTTTGGTTGCCTTCTTCTTTTCCCATCCCCTTTTCCTTCAATTTCTTAATTACAATTTTTAGCACAATATGGATGTGTCTTTATATATGTCAGCATGTTTGATCTTTGTCATAGTCTACTGAGGATGTTGGAGCAGTTCATTTTATAGATGAGTAATTGAAGAGGTCCAAAATGAATAGAAGTAGAAAGTAGGAGAGCTAAGATAACAAGTCAGGTCTTTCAGGTTCTAAAGTCAGTGGAAGGTCACTTTGCCATATTACTGAGTTTAAGTTCCTTCCTTACTGCTTTTTTTTTTTTTTTGCCTTAAATAGTCAGTTGTCTTTCTAAGAATTTCAGAGCAGAAAATAAAATGGACTTTCATATATTCCCACTTATTTATCATATTTGGTAAATATTGCAAATATGAGTTTCTATCTGATGTCACTTCACTCCAACTTAAAGAACTTCCTTTAGCCTTTTTTTTTTTTTTAGTTCAAATCTGCTAGCAACAAACTCTCCCAACTTTAACTGATCTGCCGATGACTTGATTTTTATAGGACATTTTTCCTAAATACAGAAATCTGTTTTGTTTGTTTGTTTTCTTTCATCACTTTAAAGATTTTGTTGCACTGACTTATGGGCTCTATCATTTCTAAGGAGAAGCTAGCAGCTTGACTATGATTTGCATAGGTTCTAGGTTTCTTTGCATTTGTACTGCTTGGAGTTCAATGAGATTCTCAGATTAGTAAGATGATGTTCAAACCCACCAGCCACTCCTCGGAAGGAAGGTTGGGCAATCCTACTTCCGTAGTGATACTGCCTCGGAAACCCAAGGAGGGGTCGCTATG